CTCAATTCTCATAGGTGCAAGCACATAATGCCACTGCTCTATCACAAACGCAGGTTCTTGAATCAGCTTCTGACAACCCTCTACATTGCGAGTAAATCACTCGCATATGCGACTAAATCTTATTCTGGGCGACTAAATAATGTCTAACATTAGCCATTGGTTAATAAATTCTTAGATTTTACTCGCCAGTATGTGTCAAGTAAAAACGCAAGACTGGTAATTTGGTCTGCTCATAAAGTTCCCCAACTGTAATCTGGTCATCTACTGCTTGCTCTTTAAAGTCTGTTACATCAGCCACAAAATCTGTGAAGTTTCCCTCTGAACTTTTCTCACCAGGAAAAAACGAATTGACAGCTTTTTCAAGTAGATCCTTTTTTCTACTGTCCTTTGACACACAAATTTTCCGTGTACCCCCACCTTTTTTTGTTCGTACCTGAGTAAACTTCCCTTCTCGAAAATGCATCCATCCCATCTCAATTTTTCGCATACTCTTTTGAGCATTTTTTTACACACTTTTTTCACATACATTGTCAGTGTCACCTTTGCTTATTGCTAGCCTGGTTCTCAGCCGATCAAAAAGTTTAGCTTTTCGGCCACTGGGATCGTGTTCTTTTCGCCTGCAGTATCCATGAACAGCCAGTCGGTCACCATAGGAAGGCAGATAATCCTTCGGCTGGTCATCTGTCATAAGCTGTATGACACTGCAATCAATCTGCAAAAAGAATATACTTTAAAACACTTTAAATATAAGTTTACCATTCTCTGATGACAGTGACCCTGTGAGGTATAATTCAGAAATATTATTGATTCAACTGAAGTGACATTGGATGAGAACTGAGCTGAGATGGACAATGACATTACTGCAGAGCTGCTTTATAGCTGGATTGAACTCATTTCATAACTGATCTTAAACTGTTTTAAATGTAACTGAATTAACGCTGAACTGACTTCAGCTGAACAACCTCACTATTTATTATTTTTAAAGACCATAATTTTCCCGTTTCTTACTGCAAGCTGCTTTAAAACAATATGTATTGAGCATTGAGCACTAAAAGGTGACTTGGATTGACTATAATGTATAAGGAATAATGTACAGTCAACTGGTTGTTATTTGTTATAAGAGGCGGTTTGTTTTTTAATCCAGAGACATGATTACTGAGTACTCAGTATATCTAGAAAGAAACAAGACAGAGCAGTTTAAGCACTTCTACTGGAGAATATTATTTAAACAGAATATATTGTTCCAAAGTTTCTCTGTGACAATTTTTAGGTACTGCACGTGTGATACATATATACTTATTAGTTTCATGAATACCTTATCCTGTTGCATTCGCTGTATGATGTCGTCAGAAACGTTTCTTGACTTCAAAAAGTCATAAAGGTCATCCATCCTAGAAGACAAAATGATGTATATGATAATACCTCAATGCTGGTTATCAACATAAACGGCTAGAGCTGCTATCAGATCGGTCCGTGCTGCATCTAGTGGACGGTGCGACTTGAACGAACAATAGAAATCACAACGAGAAATCCGTCTTATGATTTGGTTCGATATCAAAACTTTTTACACATATAATTTCTTATTTTACAAAAAATCAGACTTGGACCTATATGCACATCACATCAACATGGTACCTTATTACTATTAAACATGTAGTAAACACGTATAATAAAAATACAATTTCATGATGCGTTTATGCATTAAAACTGACCCGATTAATATTTTTTTGTGGCATTATGGTGTATGAAGTAAAATGTTGGTTTCCATACATGCTACATCATTATTATTATAACTTGCATCTGCAAACTTCAACATTTTCACAGTGTTCTAATTTTCCCATAGTATATTGTTAAAGAACGTTTTATGCTCCCAAGTCGATGCTTACATTCTGAACATGATGCTGGATCCTTCACATCTAGGCTACATGCTACGTGAATTATAATCTTTTGATTTTGTGATTCTTTATGTGCAATAGGCCTACTTCTGTAATCATTTTGTGACTTACGTGGGGTGATGCAATTCTTTGCTTAAAATCCTTTCAAGAGTGGGTTTGCTCAGTATTCCATGCCGTTCCGCTAATTAAGGCAATAATATCAAACCAGGTTTAAAATTCCATATAAAATACTCCTTAAAGTGTTCACATTATTAGACCTGGCCTTCCATAATCGTGTGTCGTGTCGTGTAGATCAGTGATCCAGCAAGTCATAATTTCGACTTTTAAAGTCATAACTTTGACTTTTTAAATCTCATAATTTCGATTTAAGTCATAATTTCGACATTCTATCTCATAATTTCGATTTAGTAAATCATAATTTCAACTTTTTATCTCGTAATTATGACTTAAGTATGTCATAATTTCGACTTTTTAAGGCATGATTTTTTTTTCTTACCTGGCGGAAACGGGCTTCCATACAAACCATCTCTTCTCTTGTGAGATAAGTTTATTTAAATTAATTAAATATTTCATCCCTTTTTTTTGTACTCTTCTCTCATGAAGGAGCCATGGATAGTAAAAGACCTCTTGACCGCAGTTGGATGGCTGCGGAAAAACTGCCATGCCTTCAGAGGTTTTGTGGAAGAGCCGTGGTATCTGAAATTAAACAAGGAAGACCAGGGCTGCGTTCAGCCCCGACAAAAACGGTGCAAAACGTTTTTTAAACGGAAACGGTGGTTCGGCCACTGGGATCGTGTTCTTTTCGCCTGCAGTATCCATGAACAGCCAGTCGGTCACCATAGGAAGGCAGATAATCCTTCAGCTGGTCATCTGTCATAAGCTGTATGACACTGCAATCAATCTGCAAAAAGAATATACTTTAAAACACTTTAAATATAAGTTTACCATTCTCTGATGACAGTGACCCTGTGAGGTATAATTCAGAAATATCAGTGATTCACCTGAAGTGACATTGGATGAGAACTGAACTGAGACGGACAATGACATTACTGTTTTCTGCAGAGCTGCTTTATAGCTGGATTGAACTCATTTCATAACTGATCTTAAACTGTTTTAAATGTAACTGAATTAACGCTGAACTGACTTCAGCTGAACAATGCCACTATTTATTATTTTTAAAGACCATAATTTTCCTGTTTCTTACTGCAAGCTGCTTTAAAACAATATGTATTGAGCACTATAGAAATAAAGGTGACTTGGATTGACTATAATGTATAAGGAATAATGTACAGTCAACTGGTTGTTATAGAGTTATAGAGGCGGTTTGTTTTTTGAACCAGAGACATAGGATTACTGAGTACTCAGTATATCTAGAAAGAAACAAGACAGAGCAGTTTAAGCACTTCTACTGGAGAATATTATTTAAACAGAATATATTGTTCCAAAGTTTCTCTGTGACAATTTTTAGGTACTGCACGTGTGATACATATATACTTATTAGTTTCATGAATACCTTATCCTGTTGCATTCGCTGTATGATGTCGTCAGAAACGTTTCTTGACTTCAAAAAGTCATAAAGGTCATCCATCCTAGAAGACAAAATGATGTATATGATAATACCTCAATGCTGGTTATCAACATAAACTGCTACGCTGCTATCAGATCGGTCCGTGTTGCCATCTAGTGGACGGTGCGACTATGAACGAACAATAGAAATCACAACGAGAAATCCGTCTTATGATTTGGTTCGATATCAAAACTTTTTACACATATAATTTCTTATTTTACAAAAAATCAGACTTGGACCTATATGCACATCACATCAACATGGTACCTTATTACTATTAAACATGTAGTAAACACGTATAATAAAAATACAATTTAATGACAGTATAAACGTGTTTATGCATTAAAACTGACCCGATTAATATTTTTTGTTGCATTATGGTGTATGAAGTAAAATGTTGGTTTCCATACATGCTACATCATTATTATTATAACTTGCATCTGCAAACTTCAACATTTTCACAGTGTTCTAATTTTCCCATAGTATATTGTTAAAGAACGTTTTATGCTCCCAAGTCAATGCTTACATTCTGAACATGATGCTGGATCCTTCACATCTAGGCTACATGCTACGTGAATTATAATCTTTTGATTTTGTGATTCTTTATGTGCAATAGGCCTACTTCTGTAATCATTTTGTGACTTACGTGGGGTGATGCAATTCTTTGCTTAAAATCCTTTCAAGAGTGGGTTTGCTCAGTATTCCATGCCGTTCCGCTAATTAAGGCAATAATATCAAACCAGGTTTAAAATTCCATATAAAATACTCCTTAAAGTGTTCACATTATTAGACCTGGCCTTCCATAATCGTGTGTCGTGTCGTGTAGATCAGTGATCCAGCAAGTCATAATTTCGACTTTTAAAGTCATAATTTAGACTTTTTAAATCTCATAATTTCGATTTTTTAAGTCATAATTTCGACATTTTATCTCGTAATTTCGATGTAGTAAATCATAATTTCGACTCTTTAAGTCATAACTTCGACTTTTTATCTCGTAATTATGACTTTTAAAGTCATAATTTCGATTTAGTAAGTCATAATTTCAACTTTTTATCTCGTAATTATGACTTAAGTATGTCATAATTTCGACTTTTTAAGGCATGATTTTTTTTTCTTACCTGGCGGAAACGGGCTTCCATAAACTTTTGGTTTCTGCAATGCCTCAAAGAAGTTGGTGGACATATCAGCCCTACGGAGGGCAGCGAAAGCCCACTGTTTACCAGGTCTGGGGGTATCATCATATAATTTCGTGCTTAAAAATACTAAGTAGGTGCTGAAGATATCTTTTCTATTCTATTTGAAGCATTACGTTTTTTCTCGTAAATGCACTGTGAATTAATTTCATATGACATTCTCTCAGGATTAAATAATTGATGTATACTAAACTCATATAATAGCACAAGAGACGCATTATGCTGCAATAGTTGTCCAGCTGTTGGCTCTGATTATAGAGCTGAAGTTGTACCATTGCTATTACAGCTCAGCGAGACGCCTGCGATTATCCTAATCATGTTAATGAGGTGAAATTGAGCTCAAGAATGGAGAGGGACTTGGATGTGTCCATAGCAAATTATTTATGATCAATGAGCGATGGCAAACGGTCTGTGTTGATTTCACAAAATTACCCCATTTTTTTTTCTTTCTCCCTCTCTCTTTTCTCTGACTGGTACCCAGGATGCAGTTCTGGTTGGGCTGCATACGTGTGGAGATTTGGCCCCCAGCACTCTGAGGATTTTCAGGGCCAAACAGGAGCTGCGCGCCGTTTGCACTGTGGGCTGCTGCTATCATCTGCTCTCTGAAGAGTTTGATCAGGACAGACAGAGTAAGAACACTTCCTGTCTGTACACACACACACACACACACACACACATGGACAGATCAGTCTCAATCAGAATAGTTGAGCAAGTCTTCAAACAAGTCAAGCTGTGTGGAATTGCATTTCTCTGTATAATATTTTTTCCGGCAATGTGCATCCCTGTACCAATACGTGGTTAAAAAAATAAAATAATAATAATAATAGTAAAAGCAATAACGTATTATTATTATTATTAAAATGTTATTATTTTATAACGAATATTGTTTCTTGATTGTTTAGTAAATAAATACATTATTTAATAATAATAATAATAATTATTATTAATATTATTATTATTAATAATAATAATACAATAATTATAATGTAATTGTTACATTCTAATAACATCCTAATCATTATTGTAATTTATATATATATATATACACATTATTACTAAAAATGTTACTAAAAACATTATTATAATATTAATTATTACTCAATAATGGATTAAATGAACACATAACAATTATAATAATTGGAACAATATAATATACAATATATAATGTAATATAATTTAGTAATATAGTAAATATAATAACTACAACAATGATAATAAATGTATTATTCATTATAAAATTTTTAATAATACATTTTTATAACATAATAATCAAAATTGTTGTTATTATTTTATGTGTTATTTTATAATAAATAATACAGTGTTTTATAATAAATAATAAATAGTTTTTTATTAAATAAATTACTTAATTAATTGTTTATTATTATTATTATTGTTGTTATTTTAAGTTTACTAGTCTCCAAAACAACCCCATTAGGCCCCACTAACTTTTATTGTGTGGACAAAAAGCACTGACACTTTTTTCAGATTATGTTCATAGAGAATACAGGTTTGGAACAACATGAGAATAAGTAAATGATAACACAATTTTCATTTTTAGGTGGACTTTCTAACTTGGTGTTAGTTTTAAGAGAGCATGTGGTTTCTGTCTGCCTCTCAGACACGTTCTCTTAGAGCAGACAGTGCAGAAAGGATTGGAGTGCCTATAAAATCTGATATTTTGATCACATAATTACTGTGTTATGAAGCACAGCAGGACTACAATAATATCTCATTGTCTTTTAAAGCCTGGTGATCACATCACAGACCCTCGATTGCTGCAGGGACAGAGCTAAAACGCATGAAGTGTGTGCAAAAGCTGGACTGACATCACAAACACTCTCCCCTTCAACAGACTGTCTGTTTGATCTCACAAACTCAAGAAGAGTCAGTACAACATGTGGCGTTTTCAGCGTGATGATGTCAGTGTTTTCAGGGCTTCAGCGGCTCGCTTTACAAGCACATTTGTTCTGAAGAAGAAACAAAATATAATGAAACAAATGCAGTTTCATTTGTGTCTTTTAGTCTCAAAACCCCTGTACGATTACAGCATGCTGTGCGTTTAAAGGTGAAGTGTGTCATTTTTGTGCTACTCGCACCAAGATTTTGCATAGAATTTCACTTGCATGAGCAGAATTTATTGCTATGATCTTTTCATTTTGACAGCGTAATACTTTTCCACGAGATCTCTTCTCAGGCTCTGCATTTTCTGACACAATTCAGAAGAGCCCAGGCAATGTAACCTATTTAAACAGAAAACAGGAAGTCCTGCCCACCAACAGTCGCTTATTTATAGTGCATTAAATTTGTATTTTCATCAGAAAAATACATCAGTTTTAAATTTTTGTATTATCAAACGTAACATCCCACAGCAACTGGTCGCCTCAAGACAGTGTTAAAGTTCACTCGCAATGAGTCAAACGTTTTATAATGAAATCACTGATATTGTTTTGTACACTGTCCCTCTCTCAGGCATTTTTTTATGCACAGCTCATTCTGTATCACACACACATTTTTCAGGCCTGTGCTGGACTCTGGATCCTGTTCAGTTTGGCATGGTTTAGATTAGCATGATAGCTGGAGTAAACAGTGTTTATCTGCACCGTGAATAGGCCTCGAACTGCAGTGTGGGTCTTGTTTGAATGGCATGTGTTCAACAGGTTCTCATCCACAAAATGTTTAGTATTTAGTTTAAAATGCAATAAAAAGTTTGGGTTGTTAAGATTTTTAATGTTTTTGAGAAGTCTTTTATGCTCACCAAGGGTGCTTTTATTTGATTAAAATACAATAAAAAAACAGTAAAATTGTGAAATATTATGATTTCAAATAACAGTTTTATATTGTAATATATTTTAAAATTTAATTTATTCCTGTGATGCAAAGCTGAATTTTCAGCATCATTACTCTAGTCTTCAGTGTCACAAGTTCCTTCAGAAATCAGTCTAATATACTGAATTGCTGCTCTAGAAACATTTATTATTATTATCAAGGTTGAAAACGGTTGGAAAACATTTTTTTAACAAGATTCTTTGATGGAAAAAAAAGTTCAAAAGAATAGCATTTATTTGAAATAGACATCTTTTATAACATTATAAATGTCTTTACTATCATCTTTGATCAATTTTAATGCACCCTTGCTGACTACAAGTGTAATTTCTTTTTAAAAGATCTTCTGACCCCGAACATTTGAACAGTATTTGATGTTAAAACTTAAACTGTAGTTTTTCATCTGTGTTGTTTTGTGGTTGTTGCTCAGGGTGTGTTGATGGTGTGTGTGGTTTCCCTATGAGTCAGTATCTGAAGGCTCAGGCATGTTTCTGTGGTCGAAATGCCAGGATGTCAGCATGTCTCGTAAGTCTGCCTCACACGTCACAAATAACATCACATTGCCCACACATCTTCAACCACATCCTTTGCTTATTAGCCGATGCATGTTGCATTAGGTTTTAACTATAAATAGATAATCTTTTAGGTGTTATTTTTTAAAACATAATGCCATTAAACTGAAGGCGACTATCAAACCATGAAAATGTGTGTTTAGTTATCACTACTTTTTCAATACAAGCTTGTTTCCAGCAGATTTGGCTGATGTTGGCTTTTTATTCCCCTCTCAGGCTCTGGAGGCAGTGTCTGCTGGAGGAGGGGTGAGTATTTGATTGTGTCATGTATCATATCAATATTCATTTTTCGATTAAAAACTAATTTCCCCTGCAGGATTTGCATATAAAGACTGCAGTCTCATGCGACCGAGTCTGTTTGAACAGCTGATTGTAATGTGTTGGTCAAGCTTGAATGCCAGAATGCACAGCATATGCGCCTATGCATATTTATCTGATTCAATTAGACGCACTGTGTATTTTAATTTGATTTGTCCTTTTTTTAAAATGATTGAAAGTACAGAGGTGAAGCAGTCAGCATGAACAAACTCTTTCTGTCTTCTGCATGTCTGATTGTTTGGATGACATAATTGTCATGGAAAATATGACATAATCTGTTTTCAAAGTTGCCACAAATGGTACAAACATTTCAAATGAAGTAATTAAAAATGTAAATAAGTAAGCAAACATAACCAAGTAAGCATGTGTTGTATAAGTAAGTAAAATCAGCTTTGAAATGAAACAAAACGATTTGGATCGTGGTTAACTGGGTTTCTTGTCTGTTACAGCTGCCTATGGAGTCACTTTTTTATCGGGCGGTTCTTCATGTTATTTTACGAGATCATTACGATTGCTTTGAAAGGTATTTATACTAATTGTTGCCACAGCAAATCTTCATGTACACTTTTATTAATCTACAGCACAGATTATATAAATAGACATTTAAATACATTAATTATACGTATTTATTATATATTTATGTATATTTTTTCAATATAAATGAATTAGTATATAAAGTGTAATTTCTTATTTAATATTTTTTTATATTTTATTAAATACACATACACATATTAAATGTAAATTTGTATTTAATGTTTTTATTTAGTAATATTTATTAATTATGTATTTTTATATTTCTGTATATTTTTAGTCAATATAAATAAATTAAATTAGTACATAAAATGATTTTTTTATTTAATGTTTTTTTTTTAGTATTGCGTGTGTGTGTGTATTGTAAATCATTAAGTCTATATCTCTTGTTCTCTTTAGCTATATGTGATTTATTTTTTATTAAAAAATATTTAATATTTATAAGTGTGTGTGTATATATAATTTAAAATCATTAAGTCTGCATCTTTTGTTCTGTCCATCATATGCACCATTGCACCATCATATAAAGTACGTAATAGATTTTGTGTCATGCTGGATTTGTTTTGTTACTGTGCCACATGATCTATTAATTTTAGTAGTTCAATAGCTCAGGCTGTTTTATGGCTCTTAGATACATGTAGATATCTGGGAAAACTACTAATTGTAGTAGTTGCAGTAAATTATAGTTTACTACAAAACCAAAAAAGTCCTGTCTTTGAAAAACAGTCTGTAAAAGTGGAAACACACACACCCCGGACCCCCTGATGAGTGACTCTCAGTCAGAAACACACGCGATAACAAATATTGAGCTCCCACACTGACGCCGTTCCTCTCCAAAAGACCAGGATCAGATATCTCATGGACAGCACTCTCACCACATCATCTGCTCATTAGACAGAAAACAACCGCCTGTCTTTGTTTTAGTCGCCGGAGAGCTTTAGTAAACTAGAAGAGAGAATAAAGAGGCTCCAGATTCCCTCTGGTACTTCCTTCCTTTTTGTGGAGGATGAGAAATGTTTACTGAGATACTTGATCGTGGCTGCAGAGAGCAGATCTGATTCAGTGCTGACTGATGCTCGTGACTCAATCCCTAAAGCCCTG